TATATTTTAGAATTATATAAATATCGTGGGAAATTAAACCATTTTCAGCCAAATGTTTAAATATTGCTAGTCTTAAAATATTTGAGGAAATATTCACTGATTAAACACAGGAAAAGTTGGCGTGTTCGAGATCGATACGACACTTACATGTACATGATTATAGAAAAGGACTTAAACATTATAAAGTAATATTAACAATAACTAATTGATATGTTTTTTAATAACAACAATGTATGAAACAGTGCAATGGGCTTTTATTGATAACAATAATGAATTTAACGTTATAATCCTGAAAAAGCACAAATAATATCCTATTAAAAACATACGACAATTTCGTTTATTAAGGAAGCACCTTTTTCGATATTGATACATAGAATGTTTCGTCATTAAATCTCACTTTCGATATTGAGGAAGGTGCTTTGTTTAAAATTGAAACGATCACATTGAGACATTGTTTGGGCTATTTTTTTTACATTGTATGATTTATGTACAACACAAAGTTTAACCTATTACATATGATCATTACCTTCTCATATAAATCTGTTTTACATTAAACCGTTAACTACGTTAGGAGTTAAAAGTAACTGATTCATAAGTTTTTTTTTCTATTACAATATAGTATGCAACTGTGCTATGCACTTGATATTAATGTTGTATTTAAAGTGAAATAGTGAAAAAGAGCGTAAATAATATCCCATAAAAACATACGATAATTTTCGAATATTTAGGAAGCACCTACTTCAAAGTCTTAGAATGTCTCGACACTCTTTCGGAATTTCTATACTGAAGAAGGGGCTTGTTAAAGAATCGAAGCGATCACGTGTGATATTATTTGTGCTGTTTCCACTTTGCTGTTTCCACTTTCCACTTTTATTTATATGCAGCACAAAGTTTGATCTTTTACAATTGAACATCGTTTCTCAAAAAAGTATGTTTAACATTGAACTGTTTGCTCTAGCCACATTAAGGAGTTAACAATAACTGAAATTATTTTTATTTATCACAATATTGTATGTAACTGTGCAATGCACTTTTATTGATAACAATATTGTATATGAAGTAAAAAGGTGAAAAAAAAGTACTAACAATATCCCATAAAAAAACATGCGATAATTTTCATTTATTTAAGAAGCATCTTCTTCAGTGGGACATAGAATGTTTGGACATTCCTTCTGAATTTCTATTCTGAAGAAGGTACTTCATTTCGAATTGAAGTGACATTTGCGTTTTTTTTCTCCGCATTGAATGATTTAATTTATATACAACACAAAGTTTGTCCTTTTGCATATGAACATTGCCTCATCAGAAAAATCTACTTAACATAGAGCCGTTAGCTGAAGCCATGATAAGGAGTTAACTTAAACAATGTTTTGTTGCAACTTGAACCATAGCAATACTATAATCTGCAAAAATTTTTAAATTGGTAGACATAAGAGAGAGTGATAAATGCTTAAAGTTATTCGTAACCTCGGTATTAGAAACCCCCCAGCACGGCAATGGGCTCTGCGGCAGACCAGTGGACTTCGGTCCGCAGGAACCGTGGTTCGATCCTCGACTCTACTAAAGCCCACCCAATACATACGATATACTTGTTCGTAAAATCTGTGCAATCGAAAGTCCTGTGGTCGACCACTGAGAAGTACCATGGGTACAGAGATCTGTAGAAAATTGCCTTCCCCTTCAGATCTTTGTCAAAATTGAGGAAGTGGCCTCACGAATGACTGTTGATGCCATCCATCAGTGGATTTCTGCGCTAAGATTTATTTCCCCCCTTATGTTGTTCTCTTGTCAAACGAAAGGCGCACCTTCTTAACTTAATTAACAAAAGATCAAGGGCTGACGAGCTTGGCTTGTCCAAGTGTCATTAGAAACAACAACAGAAGGAGAAAAAATTGTTATTTTAAAAAAAAAAGAGCATAAGTAAAAATAAACGGAAATGAAAGAAAAGATTTTTCTGCCTTTAATTGTGAAAAATGAGGTATAGTTTTCCTCTTCTTTTCAAATTTATACGGAAAAAAAAATGTTATGTTCATTTTTCTAACTAGTGTTTTTTTTCTTCTTTTTTGCCTGCAATATACCTTAAATGGTATGAGAAGGAATTTAATTTGAAGGAACTTTAACATGTTGAATGCCATGGGGGTCAACGGTGACCGGCACTGAGTTTGCTCGTAGCGCCAGGGGGTCATCGCTGACCGGCGAAGCCAAGATTATTATAAACACATAATTCGAGTAAAATTTTAAAATTTTTATATTATTATCGTTACTAAAATGGTTTGAAGAAATTAATGCAATACATACTGAGAAAAAAATTTTGGCCAGACGGGCAAGCCATGTAAAATTAGCGTGGCATTCAACATGTTAAACATGCACAAATCAGGACACCATAATTTACAATTCGATTAATTTCTTTCTTTAAAATGAAAAGATTTTATTTTAATATCATCATCTGCAAGATAAATCTTTTTTTATAAGCATCTGTTTTAAAAAAAAACAATTTTTTTATCATTTAATCAAAGCTAACGAATAATTGTACAAGGGTCATTTTTAAAGTAAGAACAGATTATGAAGTCTCGGCCATTGTTGGTTGTATGATTATACATACTCGTTTGTCACCGTGTAAATCAGTAATCCCTCGCTAACCGTGAAGTGCTCTCAGTTATTCGGTTTTTAAATGCTAAAAAAGTTCATCTTGCTGAAATTCACTGTTAGCTTATTAAAGATTATGGTGAAGATGCAATGAATGATGGTAATATGCGTAAACGGCGCAAGTTTTTTAATGAAGGAAAAATAAATGTTCATGATGAAGAATGATCTGGGTGACCTATTGTCATGAATAAGAAGTATTTGATCTTCCACCATACAGCCCTGGCTTAGCACCATTTGACTTTCATCTCTTTCTAAGACTTAACGAATTTCTTGGTAGAAAGCTCTTGGAAAATGATGGCATGTGGTAGGTAATTGTCACCAACTGGTTGGACGGTGAGGTTTTGATGATCGGAAAGCTGGTGTCCTGACTTGACTGATGTTTCAATTTTTATGGTTACAATGTTGAAAAGTAAACAAATTAGTTTATGATGCAATTTACTTTTATATATAAAGTTTCTCTTACTCCATTACAAAATTGTTCTTACTTAAAAACTGATCCTCATAAGATATACAAATTAAACTTCATAAAGCTTTTGTCTATATATTTATTATATTTAATATTTGCTTTTATTGCTAAATATATGTTAGAAAAAGTTTAATTTTTACAATAATATAATAATCTTTGTCCGACGGCGTTGAAGTCACAGACAAATTTAAATTTTTTGAAGATAGTTCTGCAGATTGACTCGGCAAATTCTGATATCGGGATATCCTGTGGAACTCGTATCGATCAGCCATTGCTGGGATTCGAACCCGGGTCACCTCATTGGGAGGTGAGCACTCTATCCCCTGAGCCACTAATGCTCGTAACGTGTATGCTGTAACTATTGTATGTATTTACAGTCTAGTTCAGCGGTTCCCATTTTTTTTCAGCTATGGAACCAGAAACGATCGATCTTTTGGTGGAACCCTGACTTTTATAAAGAAGTTAATTTTGTAGGTCGATGTTAATATAGTTTAATAGGGTATAAAAAAAAGACTTCAAATAAATTATATAAACATTTAATGTGAAGAATGAAATTTTTTCACTGTTTCATCAATTACGGTTTTGAAATTGCGATTTATGTTAGGCAGAAGAATTCGCAAGCCTGTGACGACTTTTAGTCTATTAGTTTCTGGCATATGCATAAAATTAAATTGATTTTTAATAATTGAAATATTAAATTAAATTTAATAAAATGCGAAAAAATAATTTGATTTTTGCGAAAGATCTATTATAAAATGTGAGGATAAATATCGGAGAAAAATAAATTGTAATTCTAGAATTTGGATATTTTACTTTGAATTTTAAAATTTGATGAGAAATAGTGACATTTGTAGATGCATATCCTTTTAGTAATTTATTTTATATATTTAATAGGGAAGAAAACTATTAGAAAACTATTAGAAAAAAATATATAAATATATATTTTAAAATTTGCTATTTATTTTTTATTTGCATTTTAATTAAATAATTTCATAATAATAACCTAATTATAAAATAAATAATTGATTAATGGTTGGATACAAACCTGTTTCAGGCATCAAAAATCATTACTGGTTAAAAACGAAAAGTTCTGAATTACAGAACTAAAGACCTTCCCACGAAATCCTAGGGCCTGAGGCTAAAATGGCCCTTTTCCCATTCATCTTAAATTTGCGATCATAAAATATTAAAAACAGTTTACATGGCTGGAAGCACAAACGGCACTAAATAAAGAAGAAAAGAGAAAATGGCACTTTGCCATGGTATTAATTAGATAACGACTTGAAAATACAGTTATAATTATATACAACAAAGGAATAGAAATTGTTTACAAAATATTACGAGTTGAGAAAGCAAGTTGATCATAAACATGAGTTAAATCAAAATATTTGCAAAATAATAAATCATAAGTGATCAAACAATAAAATAGCAAATAGGTAGTGTTAATAGTGAAAGTTAAATTAAAATTTAAATTGTGCAAGCTAGTGTACCTCTGATTAAGCAATTACCACTTGTACCGTCTTGCTCCCTACACTGAAATTTCAAGATTAGTCTCGCCCTGACCAATCCCACAAAGGAATAATATATAATCTGGTTAATTGATTGTAATAGTCATAAAATAAATTTTTAAATAAAACTGGTATAACAATTATTTTCTAACATAAATAAACTGCATAGCACTTAAAATGCAGAGACGATGTATTTACTCTCGTTATAAAAATAAATAAATGTGTATATGTATATAAAAAATAGGGTTATATATCCTTGAGTAAATATTACAGAGATCACTTTCTCATCTCTTATCCAAACAAAGAATTTCATTCAAGGTTTCTTCACGTCCGACATCTAAATTACGCGCTCTCCATAGATGGCGCTAAATAAAGACAAAGGTTCTGTTTTTACGTGAAGCAGGTGTTTCGTATTCAAAGAGTGAGTGAACGAGGATTCGAGAGGACTGTGTTGGAATAACGAGAATTTTAGCGACAGAGTGATGTCGGGCGATAAAGGTAAGGACAATATTTGTTTTCATGTTTACTTGGAATTTTATTTATTTTATGGAATTCTATAATTGGCAATAATTATAAAACTTTATAATTGTGAACATATGAAGTTATTTCTTGAAAAAGATTTTATAAAATATATATATAATTTTTTTGAAAACAATTGTGGTAGTTAAATTTTTTTTATTACGTTTATATTATAGTTATTTTAAAATGTGTCATATTAGCTTAAATTAATACCCAATTTAAATGCTTACATAGTTCTATAAAGGAAAATCATTTCCCACTTGAATTATTCTTGGAACATTATTATTATTTTTTAATTTTTAAAAGAGACAAATTAATATTTTTTATACCGTAACGCTTTCTTCGAAAACTCATTGTGTATAAACATCAATATAGTACATATAGTTTAACTCATTGAATTTTTGTTAAATAATATTGGGAAAGAGCTCTTTAATTAAAAATTGGCAATACGTTTACAAAGAAGGAGAATATGCTTATATGCAAATAAAGCATTAACATTTTGTTAGTTAGAATTTTACGGCTTAGATATAAAAAAAGGGTATTATATTTATTTATTTTTAATATCAGTTTAAAAATAAGTTAATGTTATTTTTTAAAACATAATTTAAAACTAAATAGATATGATATTAAAGAACATTAACAGCTGCGTACATATATAAATATAAATTTTAAAATTTGGCATACCTTTAGTTTCCATGAAAAATAAAATAACTTTCTTTTTCTTTTATTTTCTTAGTAACTATACTTTAACTTTTTTCTCAGCGAGGAATAGGTATTTCTAAATTTTCACAGTCTCAAAAAAATATAACAAAAACATTTTTCACATCGTGCGAAGCATAGTTAAAAGGGAAATATAGTTGTGCTGAATTGTTATTATAATAGCATACCTGCCAACTTTNCATAATTTAAAACTAAATAGATATGATATTAAAGAACATTAACAGCTGCATACAGATATAAATATAGATTTTAAAATTTGGCATACCTTTAGTTTCCATGAAAAATAAAATAACTTTTCTTTTATTTTCTTAGTAACTATACTTTAACTTTTTTCTCAGCGAGGAATAGGTATTTCTAAATTTTCACAGTCTCAAAAAAATATAACAAAAACATTTTTCACATCGTGGGAAGCATAGTCAAAACGGAAATATAGTTGAGCTGAATTGTTGTTATAATTGTGTTAAGATCTTTAATTTTCATCCGGAAAAAAATTATAACTATAGAATCAAAATATGTGATTCTTAAGTTTCATATTAATAAGCGGATAAAAATAAACTTAAAATTTATTGGTAACGAATTTATAACATATTGTGACGTTTAGTTGGAAAAAAAAGGAAATGCGTTCTTTTATTTTATTTCTTGAGATTTAAATGAACTTTTCCATCAACAGTAAATACAAGAATTCGATCAAATCCATGTTTTATAAGCATTTTAAAATCACATTTTGATAGAAAGCCACTTATCTTTAAACTCGCTAAATATTGCTTTAAATTAAGAATTTAGCCATTACTTTTTGGTTGGTCTCAATTCATCTTCACCTGTGACTGTACACACAAAAATTTTAATTTTCCATTTTTTTACTATGAAAAAGTGAGTGACTTCTAAAAAAACAAGACTGATGAAACGTATTTTTACGGCATAAAAAAAGCCTAAAAGTCCTTATATAATTTGCTTACTTACTTTTGGTTTCGGTATTTTTTCATAAGTGTCAATAATTATCGGACATTGTTTAAAGATTTCGTAATAGTATTTTCTTATCACCAGTTGGTATTTTAATAACATATTATATTTTACTATATACAACGTCAAATTCAATCTCCACTGGAGTATATTCTCCAATTCATTAAAAAAAAGTCAATTAATTTAATATTATGAATTTCGTGATTTTCAAGTGGGTTAAAAGATTAGCGTGATTTCTTAAATTATTTTGCGTTGATTACCTTTCTAAAGTTTTAGTCAAGTAACATTAAATAACAAAATTGAAATACATTACCTCAACTATTATTTTAATTTTTGTTTAATACAATTGCCTTTTTGCAGTCTTAAAACCCCAGTATTTACATTAAATTTAAAAATTTTGGCTTACAGCAAGACCGGTCTAATGAAAAAAGAAACTGAAACTTCTTTCAGCAGCAAATGCTTTTGAAAAATTTTACTCTGTAAAATTGTTGGCTGAATTTGAAATATCATGCTTGAAGCATTTAGAAATAATGCTCTATTTTAACCATGCAAAATTAACATAGACTAAAATGGGCTTAGAAGGTTGAAAGATTTTGTTCTCCGTTTTTTAGCTATCACTATAGTTTTAAAAGCATTCTTATATAGACATCGTAATTCTATTGCATGCTTTCAAAATTTACTGGTAATTAAATCAGAAAATTCTCTCCTTAGTAATTTCCTCTTCTCATTTTGGCCATTTCGAATTTTGCATGGTTAAAAATGACATTTCTAAAAGCTTCGAACATGATGTTTGAGACTGTGCTAACACTTTTACCGAGTAAAATCTTCCTAAACATTTACTTCTAAAAGAAAGATTGCTTGCAGAGAGTTAGTATCCAAGCATTTCCATATTTTTGTCCAACCTTTGTATATCCTTCATAATAGCAATACATGGTTACAATTACAATTGTATTGTTCAGATTGAATATTAATGAAATCAATTCCTAATTTGTGTTGTTTCACTTTTTTTGCCCATGTTCCATTCTTGCACTTAGATCCTAATTCCCCCCTATTTAACTCTTCAACTAAATTTTTCTACGTAAGAGACATTTTGCGATTAACTTTTTCTTCTTTCCTAAAAACGCGATTTCAACCAAAACAAACAACTCTGACCTATTTTATAAAACGAACATCTCATATAAAGGTTAGTGAGAATCTAACTTAGAATCCAAACACGCATGACAATAAACATAATAGTTGGGATTAAAAATATTTTTAACGCTGGAACTTTACTTCAACAATGACTTCCCTTTGGAAAAAAAGCACAGACAATAATCAAACCTCCAGTCAATTTGTTAGCATTTCTGTTCTAAATGTAAAGATTAGGGTATACCGGAAGACATAATGGTTCTCTTTTGTTGCCACTCACTGTGGGAAAATTTTGAGAAAAAAAACTAATAAATGCATGATGGTAGGAAGTGCTTCAATTTAAGTAGCCATTACCTGGTGAAAGGACCATCAATGATGGATTTTTGATCGATACATTAGCCTTACTTTCTCCCGAAATTTTGATCTTTAAACGGTGAGTTGTTGAGATTTCTATTTTGTTTAAAGTTTTTTTGGTAGTTCATTTGTGTAAATAGTTTGCGCAATAGTCCATGATGATGACATGCCGTTCAGCAATTTCGAAAGAGGATTTTTATGTACCTGAGGAAACATTTTTGCAACAAAGAATGGGTTTAAGAAATCAATTGATTATAAATATGAACTTTAAAATCCAGCTTCTACCGGAGTTCAAAGTTTTTTGTAAAAATTTATAATAGTGGTTTGGGTTTAAATGTATTTTTTTTTTATTAATTTAAACTTATTTTCCCCAATACTATATATAAATGATTTAGAAGTTAATATGTAAATCTACTTCGTTTTAGCTTTTATGTAGTGTTGGCAAAATTACCAAAAATTCTAAAGGCTTTGGGATCGAAATTTTACATTGTATGTGGTATTTCGTAGTCACCTCTCATAATGTATATTTTTAGAATACTAATCAAAACAAAGATACACATTAGACGTAACAAATTTTAATTTTCAGTCAAGAAAGAACAAAAAGGTTATGTAAATGTAACAAATCACTACTGAAGGCAGAACTAGATACATCCAAAACTTCAAACTTGTTTGATTGCCGGTCGAAGCAGAAAAGATGAAAGGTGGTTACTGGGAGCACACAGAAGTTTCATGAGGCAATTAAAATGGTTTTGATATTTTCACCTCGTTTTCTCAATAGTGATTCTACAGACACAAAGACATTTTTTTTCTTCCTTGATTTTATTTGTCACCCTTTTTTACTTAATTTTTGAAAAGTTAATCTATCTATCCTAGATAATTAAAAAAATCAAGGGTAGATATTACGTAACACTGTATTCCTCAAACCATTTCTAAATGTCGTAAACATTTATTTGAATTTCAGCTTAATCTTATAAAACAGATTTTAATCACATTTACTGCTGAAACAAATACAAATAAAATAGATTTTATCAATGCATACATCTTTCAACCTTAAAATAGGACAAATATTTATAAACCAAACTGAATAATTAATTACCATCTTTCAATGTATTGATTTATGAGCTATTGGCACTGATTGATGTGGTGTATTGATTGATTATTATCATTTTATTGATTGATATGTTATTTGTGAATGACTACGTGCATTGAAAATAGCTTCTGTAGATGCATAAATTTTTTTACTGTAAAGTTAAGCTAACATTGATTATCCGAACGGAGTAATTAATTACATTTATTGATATTCCGTTTACGAACGACTAACTTTGATAAGGAAGATAACTATTTCACTTCCGATAGAAATTCAACTATCATGTCATGATACCAGTTGAAAAAAATAAACATTCATGCAACCTCTTCTACAACAATTGAAATCAGATAACTTAGGGTAACAGCTTGTCACGATTTTGGCCTCTTACGATCTTCTGTCTTTCATATAATTGGCAATTTTCTTAAATGAGCTTCTATATTCTTTTAAAGCAAAAGTACTAGGTTAAAGACTTCCAGGTTATTCTTTTAAATGAGCATAAATTTTTTTTTAAAGTTACACTCTTAATTTCGCTTGATTTTTTCGTGGAATAAAAAATATATTAAAACATAATTTTTGTTAACAATTAATACACAAACTATTTAACAAGAAAACTAAGTAAGGTTTCATAAGCACCTGGAAAAAGTGGTAGTGATAATAATAACAAAAATGTGTTTATATTATTATGTTTGCAGGTACCAGAATATTTTCTTTTCTTTAAGTAAATATATGT